CAAGAGCCGAATTTGCATCACATAGGTTTTGAGAGCACTGGGCTAACTTGTGAAATTTTACATTGCAAGTACTTTCAGTGACAAGAAGGCAATGCAAATTTAGTGTTGAAATAAGTTGCTACACCACTCTAAGTTGTTACTTGCTCCTCATCGAGCACCGGTCCATTAACCTTTTTGAGTTCGTTGTTTTTGTTGTGCCGAGGAAGCTCAGGTTGATTGACTAGTCCCAGGGCCGGTCCTGAGATTTTGGGGGCCCGGGGCGGAAACGAAACTCGGGGCCCCTTAACGTAAACATCATGACAATGACACAAATTAACATAAACATCATGCCTCCATGTCTGTCATTAGATGTTTAATTTTCATATTCTATAAATGTCGATATTTGTTAATCTAATATGGACAAACTTTACGGAGTTTGACTCCAGAGGAAGTACTTTTGCTAAATGTCAACGACGTTGATTTATTTTCCTAGAGAAAAAGGTGAGGTGGCATACGGCACCCCAGCGAGACCCTCGGTATCACCAGTGGCGGGGAGTCGAAGGTGGATATTTGCGAGTGTCATGGGGTCGCCGATGCCAGAGGAGTCACTAGAGTGATGGTTGCAGAGGTGGCATCCCGGCGCTGGAGGAAGTCACTTGGGCAGGAAGACGCGGCAGTGCAACACCTAAGGGTAGTGGTGGACGGCGGTCGGCCATTACGAGAGGACATATCGGACTTGGTGGGATGGCGGAAAAATCGACTCATGCCAAAAAAAGGGGTAGCTGAATAATAGCAGGCCAAGAAAATTGCATCAAAGGTTGAACAATCCAAGCCATGCACCATGTATCATGTACGTATAAATAAATTAGCAGGAGGCGGCAGAAAATTAGCAGGGCACGGCGGCGGCGGCCTAGGTTGCGAATTGCTGCGATAGAAAGGGGTGAGGAGTCGCCGGATCGATAGCCTTCTTATTTTTCTACGTGAAGTAAAAAATCGGTCGCATTTTCTAGCGAAACAAATCGATCACTGGGATCGGCCTGTGTGCGAGTTGCCTGCTTGCACAGCGTGAAGCCCACCCATTGACTTTTTTTCTGGCCGATGGCAGACCCAAGCCTACCTCTACATACCTGATCGGGGGCCCCTCAAGTTTGGGGGCCCGGGGCGGCCGCCCCCTCTGCCCCCCCTCAGGGCCGGCCCTGACTAGTCCAAGCCTCAAGACCGGGAGCAAAATTTATTTTGCAATATAACTAATTGACAGCTCGTGAACTAGAAATATTAGCTTAGCTAAAATTCTACGAGGTCGACACCAAAAGGATACATGCATGGTCGACACTAGAAGTGTTTGCGGCTAGAATTTCATGAGGTTGATGTCAGCATGATGCGAGGCAACACCACCATTCCACATGTATTCATCCACTCACGTCCATTGCCAAGACTCCACTACGCCACGCCTTGAGACCCGCCGTCGGTCATAAAAGCTGCCATTCCATGAGGCCTGGTCGAGCTGCATCGAGGAACTCTCTTCTTTCCCTCTCGCCCGGCCCGGCGGTCATCAAAATTGACATTGCCTGTACACTGGGAACCTTCAGCGAGGCCTTCCACCGAACCCGGATGGCACGGTGTGGCCACTGACCTGACCAACAGTAGCCAAAGCTGGGCACGAGTTTGAGTTTCCACATAAAACAGAAGAGATTATGCCATACGCATTTCCCCTTCCTTTCTAAGGCATAGACTTTTCCTTACCAAAGAGACACGTTTGAGCTGAGGTTGAACAAAATACTGTAGGACGAGGACGGTTCTAACTCGGCTAGCACTAGACAGGCAAAACATGCCCATATTGAGTACCAGTCTATATGACTATCCGTGCACTACTGTACCTGGTCGGCGTTGAAGTCAACTGAGAAGACCAAAGTCTTTCTACTTAAGACAGTACCAAAGGCAACTAGTCAGAGTGACTAGTCTAGCTAGTGCCCTACTAGCTCGGAGTGGACGTTGAAGTCAAGCAAGAGAAGACCCAACATTTATTTCTTCTACATAAGAGGAGTTCGATTAGCAGCACGAGTATCACCAAGCGTACGTCTAGCTATAATTCACAACAGCATGCTCAAGTTGCAGGAGGAGAAGATGATCCTTCTCCTTCCCTCCATTCCTTCCCCACAAGCAAAGCTCCTCGTGCCAATACTAGTTGTACTGATGGCAGTTCAGCTCCTCGTGGCAACCGTAGCCGCCTTGCCGGGCTGCCCGATGGCCTGCGGCAACGTCATCGTCCCCTACCCTTTCGGCTTCCGACCAGGTTGCTTCCAGAGGAACTTCAACCTCACCTGCGACGAGACACACCACCCTCCGAAGCTGTTTCTCGGCGACGGCGTGGAAGTGGACGCCATATCCCTCTCGGAAGGCACCGTGCGTGTCCAGAGAAGGATTCTGAGGTCTTACGAAAACATGACGCGGCCGCAATCTCTCGGCTTTGGCGCCGCATGGCCCGACGCCGCCTGGCCCGGTCAGAATACCGGAGTGCGGCTGGCAGTGTCAACTGAGCACAACGTCTTCGTGGTCATCGGGTGCAGCCTCGTCGCCTACCTCATCGCCCAACAAACAGTTACGAGCAATGGAGACGGGGCTAATGTCGGCGCATGCGCTGCGCTGTGTAACTTCGGGATTCCGGATCCAGGTCACACCTCGTGCTCGGGCATCGGCTGCTGCCGGACGACCATCTCGCAGAGTCTGGCTGCGTACGGTGTGCAGTTCAATCGGTTGGACGGCACTCCGTTCGGGGCTGCTCATCCGTTCGGGGCTGCGTTCATGGTCGATCGCGGGTGGTTCACCGGGATCAACATCGCAGCCGTACAAAATGCCACATATCAGGATTTGGGTAGCTATGCCAACGTGACCAGCGTACCCACGGTGCTGGAATGGTGGCTGGATGTGGAAGCCGATCGTGACCTGCTCGTGAGGGATCTCGGTTCTGAGTCTGGTTGGAGATGCATAAGCTTGAACAGCGTCGCTCTCAACGTTAGCAACCATTACGGTGCAGTAAGTTGCAACTGCTCGAATGGATACGGAGGCAACCCTCACATCGTTAATGGATGCCAAGGTACCACCCCTACCACTATAAGTACTACTCCCTCTGTCCCAAATCTAAGACAACTAATTTGAGAACGGAGGTAATACTTCCGACACCGGCCCCTTTATTTTTGAGAGAGCTTCTTCTATTAGGAGTAGTTACTTTTTTATACTGTAGCATATGTGAATGTGATATTGGGCTTTTAGAGCATCTCTAGCCGATCCCCTAAAAAAATAGAGGAGTAAACGGCCGAGTAAAGTTTAGTGGAGTATTTTTACTACATTATATTAAGTTTTGGGTTTTCAGAGAAGAATTATGTCTGCTAAATAGGCACCTTTTTCCTTGCACCATCAGAAAAGATTTATTTCTGACAACGGCTCGCTACTGTCGGAATGAGCACAAAATGATAGTTCATGAAGAAATTCGTTCACCTGAACAAATTAAAGATCCCCGTGCTCAAATCAGGGCCAAGACTTCCCTTTGAAATTTCTTCTTGTAGAATATGCAATCCTGTCCGAAAATGACTTGTTCAATAGGCTTGAACTGCACTTTGAACATACTCCGCCTTTTATCTGAACTTGTTCTCCCTCTTTTCAGATATCGACGAGTGCCTACAGCCTGATGTATGCCAGAACGGAACCTGCACCAATATGCGAGGGACATACCAATGTTCAGCGAAAAAAAGTGCCAGCCGCCTCCCAGGTACAAATATAACTACACTTGGTACAAGTCCTTGCTTAATGATAATTAAGGTCCATAGAATTACGAATTTTTTGTTATGTAGTACAATAGTAGAACGACTACATAATGCTACTAAATACATTTTCCAGTTTAAAATCAGTTGTCTTAATACTATGAAAGCATCACCATTCACAAACAAAAGACAACACAAAAGGAAAACTAGTAAACCAGGTGATCACTGATGTGGAAACAATACTTCCAATATGATTGCTCTGATAAATATTCTAAGCGAACCTTTGTCATGGCTTGGCTGAGTTGTTTTCAATTTAAGTTCAAATTTGTGAAATGCAGACATCGTGTACTACTATCGATCCTTACTTTCATTATCCGTAGGTTTGATTACCATAATTGCAATTAGTGCGGGTTTTGGCATAGTGTTTTCTCTTCTGGGTATTTCCAAAATCAGCAATAAATTTAAGCAAAGAAGAGCCAAGAATTTGAGACGAAAGTTCTTCAAGAAAAATCATGGATTGCTTCTGCAACAGCTAATCTCTTCAAACCAAGATATAGCGGAAAGAATGAGGATTTTCAGTTTGGAAGAGTTGGACCAAGCAACCAACAAATTTGACCATAATCGCATCCTTGGTGGCGGTGGCCATGGCATAGTGTACAAAGGCATCTTATCTGATCAGCGTATTGTTGCCATTAAGAAGGCCAAAATTGTTGTTCAAAGGGAAATCGACCAGTTTATCAACGAGGTTGTCATACTTTCACAGACAAACCATAGGAATGTGGTGAAGCTCTTTGGGTGCTGCCTAGAGACAGAGGTTCCTCTACTTGTTTATGAGTTCATATCGAACAGAACTCTCTCATTTCATCTCCATGGCCAAAGTGAGAACCCATTATCATGGAAAGATAGGGTGAGGATTGCACTGGAAACTGCAAGGGCCATTGCATATCTACACTCTGCTGCTTCAATATCAGTATACCACAGAGATATCAAATG